ATCTAACTGTTCACTGCCTTCGGTAACTAGGAATTAACTGTCTAGTGCCTGGTGTTTCCGTTCCTGTCTCTCTTCCATTTCGGCTCTTTTGTTTTACATTTTTACAATGAGTGAAAGAAATGAACGAAGCGTGAAAAATGTGAACAAAAGAAACGAAATATGAAGAGAGCCGTGTGTTGCTTTTAATTAAATTAAACAGGCACGCACTTCGTTTGTCCTTTTTTCGTTTAATTTAATTAAAATAAACACACGGGGAACGGGAACAAGACCCAGAAGCCACCTCACATTCTACAGTAACCACTCACTTGAAATATAACTCCTAGAGACGAAGGTAAGCATAAAGAAGGTTCCGTGGTTTGTTCCTTGTTGATCCCCCACCCCCTCTGAAATGGTCTCCGCGACCCATGCACTGGCTTTAAGGACAGCTGACACCCCCCGCCCCGCNNCCCCCCCCCCCCCCCGCCCCCCCCCTGCCTCCGCTCCACGCCGCTCTACTTGTTTTGCATCGGTTCACGGCCTCTTTCCAGTGACGGCTCGGAGTTGAAGAAGGCGAACGGTTCGTCGGCCCTCTTGACTTGCGGCCGGGCCGAGGGGGAGGACCCGAAGCATTAGGAATTAGACTCGAAACCCAGAATAGGGCTGCGGGAGGCTTCGGGGGGGAATCTTTAACAGCTCTGCACGTGCCGGTACTTGGTGGTCAGGACTTGATCACAACGGCCTTAAACGAGTGCAGCACATGCCGCTGACGCGTTGTTTAAGACTGCTGATTTGCCACCCATAGCCCCATAGCATGTGGTTCCCGGGCTACGCCTGGCCTGTCCGGTCTGTGAGTGCACCATTTGGCACCAGCAGGCGCCAGGTCTTCCCCAAGGCCAAGCCACCGTGCATGGACCCAGTCTGAGCACAAAGTGGCGAGTTCTCGTGGAGAGCGACTGCTTGGGCCTGGTCTTGCAAAGAACCGCCAAGGCACAATGATCATGGCTGCGTTCACGATCAAGACTTCCGACGCTTCTAGAGCGACCTTGAAAAAGGAGAAATCTTATGCAAGCACCAGCTCAGCCGTCTGTAGACTTGCGTTGACAAGTAAGGTTCCCTCAGAAGCTTCACCGGTCGTCAGCAGCTCGATGGTCCCGTTGCCAGCCTCGCCGAAACGCCCATTCGCCATGCACAGACGCTGCAAGCAAAACGGGTGGCGGGTCGATCCTGAATGTCCTCGCTGAATGTGAGGCTGATGTTGACCTCTGCACCGACCTCAAGGGAAGCCGGCACGAGCCGAATTGGACTCCGCGTCTCCCGCTGGGGCCACTGCTCCGAAAGCATTGTGTGGAGGATGCACGGCAAGAAGGCGGGGTGCCTCCGAATCGTAGATGACGTGGGCGTCCATTTTGGTTGCCACCATGTCTGAGTACCTGAAACGGCGGTGTGCAAGCGGACAAAGGGCTCTGCACCAGAAACCAGGGTATGGAGCGCACGAGATGGAGTTCTTCTTTGAGAGCTTGACCTCCAGCGTACTGTTCGCCGCTGACATCGTGCCGTCGTCTCGGGCCTTCAAGGTGTCAAACACCTCACCGCCTGCTTGCACTTCCGATCTAGACTCAGTGGCAGACGAAGCAGTAAACGTCATACTCGGTGTCCCTGGTCAGAGCATCATATATGTCTCGGAAGATGCTTGGCCACTGATTCCGATGCCTCATCAAGTTCTGTATGGTCACATCCAGAACTCCAGCCTCGTGTCTGCTCAAACAAACTCACAGAGACCAGTCAGGCTGCAGAGGCTGAGCAAATCACGGCCCCTATGCTCGCAAGATATCCAGCGGCCACCTCGCTTTAAGATGGAGACATGACACCACACAGGCACAAGCAATCTTCCAGGGGAAGCCACGACTTCATTGGTCGCAGGTGGAGGCTGCAGGTCGAGCACGGCGGCACACCACACAGTGCCTGCCTGCAGGAGCCATGTCGGTAAAAAGAGTCCTCAGAGAAGTCTACGGAGCCTCATCCAGCGAGGCAGTGACTCGAACAGAATCCTGCAGAGCAGAGCAGAGCTGAAATTGGCGATGTTTGAAAACCGAGGGCTGGCGAAGTAAAGCTGGATCCTGTGTGTACGACACCGCGTCCAGCACAAGAAGAGTCGGCGGGGTCAGATCCAGGGAATACCTGCCCCCCCCCCCGGGTATGGTGGGCACACACCAAAATTACCAAAAGCAAGGCTTTCGCACCGGCCGAGTGGTTCGGTGAGGATCGGCGCTGCCTGTCAAAATAGGTTGAAAATTACCGAATCCGTAGACAGAGCAACTCTCACCTCGTTGTTGCCACAATCTGGACTTTCCGTGGCATTGCGTTGGAAGCACCCGTCTGTGGCTTCATCATCCTCTGCCACGCAGTAGACGAAGTACAGCACCTTCACAGATCATATGCATGTGTAGGCAATATGGAAATCCCACACGCCCACCTCCCGAGACAGACCGGTCACGGTGATCTCAAAGTTTCTCTGCGCGGAGGCCGTGAAGCTTCGCAGCGGCGAGTCCGAGGGAAGGTCGAAGCTGCAAGGGTGCCCAGGACGGATCCAGGCGGAAAAGAGGCTTTGACACGGCAGGCCCAGCCCCCTTCTTGCCCTGTGCCCCACCTGAAAGGTCCGCCCGGCGCAGCCACGACGTCTGCAAAGGTCACGTTGCTTCCGGGATCCACGTCGTAGGCTCGGCCTGAGGCGAAGGGCGTGGGCGAAGGCAGATCTCGGACTCTCTGACGCTCTTGCGCTGCAGAGCCGAGGCTGGGACAATACGCAGTTCCAGGCTCATCAAGTTGAAGGGTTGCGGTCATCGAATCCTTTTATGGTAACATGCACCACTCTTGGGACAGCAGCCTATCGCAAACCTCTGGAGGAAAACGACAGGTTGGACCGAGTCTTGTGCGATGTTCGAAGTCAGAATATGCCGGCAACTACTGACCCTCAAGCGACTCTTTGGACAAATGGAATCCCCTGCTGAAATCAAGAGCCTCGTCTCGCAAAAAATACAGGTCTGCATACACGTCAGCTGCGAGGTCCTCCGATCGCGCTTCTGCCCATACAAAGGTTAGCACAGGCGGCGTAGTGTCCCAGGTACGAACCTTGAACGAACACGGGACATTCAGGAAGCCTCCTTGACCGGAAGCTTCTGCATAAGCCTGCGGCCATATCTATGAGGCCTCCACTGGCACCCGTTTCCAGATCGGGCGGATGGACTGTTTGAGAGAATCGAGTTTGCACGTAGCTCTGCTCCTGAGAAAAGGCATCCGACCCACCGAGCATGGCAGTTGTGGGGGGGACTTTTCCCAAGCCTGGCCCAGCCCCTGAGCTCTCGACCATGAAATTCGGAGATGCCTGGAGCTAGAACGCATGAAAGAAACAGCACAAGTTGAAGCCAGCTCTCCGAGGGCAATAAAGCCGCAACCCCCCCCTTGAACTACACAAAGGAAGCACCAGCACCAGCATCGGTGGCATCGACAGGAGGATTGTCAACTGAGATTTCGCAGAGGGGTCGCAAGTGTCCTTACATGTCCGTTGAACCTGCGATTAGCGTCGCCTTTACAACTTGCCGTTAGCCGTAGGTGGGATTTTTTCTCGTGAAAAAGGTCTTTGTGAGTGTGTGTGACCGTTGGGCAATTCGTTCCGTTGTCGGGCCTTGGCCTGTAGGGCTTAGGCGCAAGAGTCTCTGTGATACGTGGGCTGGACACTGTGCTCTTGTGGGTACTGCATGACAAGTCTGGCGCGAGCTAGTCCTCGTGCCGATTGCAATATACGGCTGATGATAGAAATCCTGCATTACCCATAATCAGGAATATACCATAGCTCCCAGAGTTTCGGGTCCTTAGGGTAGTGCAGGATATCAATCATCAACAGTATCAGTATCATTACTGCTGAGGACATAAACGGCATGCATGCGATGTCACCTCGCTTGCCCGCAGCGAGGTCGGACCTAGAGGACTGTGATTTCCACATAGCAAAGATCATGCTGAAATGATGCTAACTCACCACCACCACCACCACCACCACCACCACCACCACGACTCCTACTACTACTGCTAACTCAAATCCATGCGCGCGTGGTCGGGCCCAGCCACGACTTCTATGATCGTCAAAATATCCTAGACTCTAGTTGCATCTACATCGACTGTCAACTGCAGGGAGTGCTCGGGTCCCTAACTGGTGTATGCAGCAGCTTTCCGAGAGTTGAAATCAAATCAGCAACATTCTTGGCTTTAGAATCAAGCGCAACATGGATTTTTGGATCTTGCATCGAATGGCAGACCAATCTTCCCGATGATTAAACGTGATTCGGAGCATTGCTGCTGTGCGGAAACAAGATACAACAAAAAAATCGAAATGGAGGATTTCTGTCCGATGACATGCAAGTTGTTGACAAACAAAGCTTGCACAGCACGAGCTTAGATGAGATAACAGCACATGTGCACATTATTCAACCTGTCTCGGGAGGGTTTGGTGCACACAGGAACCAGCGCCCGTTTCGGGCATCATGATGATGCGCTTATTGCCACATGGTCACCTTGTTCAATCTTAAAACGTAGCATCCCAAACAAAAAGCTGCGTCATCACCATCACCTTCATTATCACCATGACAATCATCAGCATAGCAAGGCCGCATCGCGCTTCCCGCGCTGGCCATTGGGGGCCTCCCCTTTTTGGGCTCTCGCCATCAGCAGCCGCCGGGCGATTTCCCCGAACTGCCCAAAACCCACAGCCCCAACCCACACCCCCCTCGGTTCCTCCTCTTAAAGACTTCCAAAGCTGCGTCACTTCAAGTTGCTAGGGCGCTGCCTCAAAGCTGCAAACAGCGCTGGCGCCCTGAGGCCGACAGGAGTGCAGCTGCGCCGAATCCTGCACAGGTCCCCACAAACTGTTTAGCACCTTAGCAGCTTACAGCGAAGCTTCTGTGCCTTGGCCCAGCAGAAGATGTCATACGCGGTTCCGCGGGTCAAAGGAGCTTCTGTCGCACGATCGGCCAACTTGTCGATACTGATAACTGAAGATGCCATCGCCTTAGAGCAGCAAAAGCGTGCAAGGCCTTATGTCTGCAGTTGACCTAGCCGCAAGTGCTCAGCTCAAGACATCATTGGTGGCATAGAATCCCGCTTGCACTATATGAGAAATGTGCAATGCTGTAGATGCTGCATCGGTGCGAGTAGCGCGGCCTTCAGATTGCAATGCCACATCGGCTGAACGGGAATCGAGGTGAAGCGCTCGGCGAAGCACACAGCCAACGGTGAGTCTGAGCGCAGCACAGTAGGCTGTGCCGGGCTCGTTCAACTGCAGGGTGATCGAGAGCATGTCCTCGCCAACACCCCTGGCCTCGGGAAGAAGCTGAAAATCTTCGACAGTACAAGGGACGATTTGCGCATCTTGGGGGCTGGACTCCAAGAAGTGAGAAGGTGGGCGGGTCCACATCGCGTGTGATGATCTGCCCCACCGCATCACGCACAAGCTGCATCTCTGCAAGCCTCGGGAAGTTGCAGCAGAGCGCTCCGCCTGTTGAGTCAACCTCTCTCTCACTCTTCCGCTTCTTTCCCACAGCTCTTTTTTTCTCTAGCAATCTAGGGCTTCATTGGCATGTCACTGCACTCCATTGTCAGGGGCGCCCCGTCTATCGGGGCTGGTTTAGGGGAACCGATGCCACACAAAAGCCATTGCAAATCTCCACATCTCTCTCTCTCTGACATTTACTGAAGCTTCTTTCCAATGCCTCTCTCAGCTTCCCTCAAGCGTCCGGAGCTAAGCTTGTGACGTGTTCAGGTTGGGAACCGCCGGGCAGCCAGGATCCGTGCAGCTGGGATTGGCGGCTGTGTCTTGGGCAGCGCAATAAGTCTCATATGCGGTTTCCTGGCACAGGCTGCGCTTTGCTAAAATATGTAACTCATGCCCGTTCGCTCTCTTTGAAATGGTGCTGCCGGCAGGCTGAGACCAGCTGCAGTTCTGTGGTGCCGCGGCGCGACACCGTGACCTAGGCTTTCTCTTGGACCCCGCCGAGTGAAATCTATCGTCTCCCACATCCCTGAATCTCCTAGAGTCCTACCTCCACATCCGTGTTTGCATCGGCAGCTGTCTCCGAGCGCCAGCCGTGGGCAAGCACCTGAGTCACGCTAACATCAGGCACTTGGCCAAGTGCCCCTGCTTGAGGGAAGTGTCACCTCCCCTTTTGCTGTTCCGGGGCGCCCATGCTGGCGAGATAACCTGTCCCACAGTTGATGGGCTGAAACACCAAACCGTACCTGGCCGCTGCAGCAAACCCTAGAACCCTAGAATCGCTCGAAAACAGGAGGTCTTAATTGGCACCTGGCTCATCAAGCTGTAATGTCCTGGCACAGGAAAGGGAGATCCTCTCAGACTCCCTCTCTGCGGCCCCTTTCCTCTGAGATCCAGACACGACAATGAGCCCAGGCTCAGAGCCACTGGCTCGGACCACGCGGATCTCTGGAGGCGTGAAGTCGTTGACGCTGGCGGAAAGGACGGGCAGAACTCGACGGTTCGGAAGCCTCGCATGCAGCACGCTCTGACGTGAACGATATGCCACGCATCACTCAGTGCAAAGCAGGGGGTGCATGTTGTCGTCCTGCATATGATGAGATTGAAGCTGCAATAAGACTCAGACACGGTCTTCTTCATTTTTGCGTAGCAAGGGAGCTGATTCACTGATATCATGCATGAAACTTCTGCTCCTCGAGCTGGCAATGCACATCATAGCCCGTGCCACGCAACAGCCCCGGCAGCGCCATTGTCAAGCTTGAACCTGGTCGCAGGCATGACGGGCCGACAGGCCTTCTGTTTGCCGTGCATGTACAAGGAGTGCACACGGACTGAGCCCAAGACAGTCGCCAGCGTCAAAGGAGGCGGCAGAACCTGAAGTCAAGGTAAGCAGCGTGGGATAAATCCCCGAAGCAACATGCGCTGCTAGCCGTTAGCACAGAGGATTTGACTCCACTGGAACGGCCGTCCAAAGCTTTGACTTCTACCTTCGTCTACCGGCACACATCACAACTTGGTGCCGGGCAGTTGGCAGAATGTCCCTCTGCAGTGATAGTGCTGATGTGAGGTGTCTCCGCGCCTCTCAGCTTCTACTCTTGGGTTCTCATCCCCATGCAAGCAACCTGGTTTGGCTATCTATCCTGCGGTTCGTGCACAGACCAATGGGGCACGCCAGTGTTGTTGCTGGACTGTCCGCGTGCATTGACTGGCGGGGCACGCGGTTGGACTCTTCACAGGCTGGCTGATGGCGCCCTAGCACTGGACTGAAGGGGTACAGGCAAACACCGCTGGACTGATGAAGCCCATTCACGACTAGGTGACTAGGTAGCAAAGTAGCAGCAGGGAGGAAGAAGAATTGCACCAGCAGAAGCGCGAAAGATATCGCAAAAGACAGCCAGACGGCGCAGCAGCAGAGCACGAAAAGCCAAAAACTCGAAAAGTGCGAAACGCACGAAAAGCACAATCAACTTCTTTTCGCTGTACGTTGCTAAGTTCCGGGGGGCTTCAAGCTAGCCGGGAACCCACAGCAGAAATTTAGAATCCGCGCTGCCATCTGCGCCTGTGAGGAGAGGTAGGCAGAAAAGCGTTGCCGCCTCACAGCAAGGATGCGCCACCGAACATCGAGCCAATTCAGGAAGCTTCGATAAGCTCAGATCTTACACTGGCATGAGGCCAATCACATCACCTTTACTGCTGTGTCATCCATCATCCCGTTCAAGCCGTCTCAGCCGCGCTGCCTAGAAAGAACCAGAAGACCTAGCTGAGGAACGCCGAGGATTCAGAAACAAGAAACGCCAACATGATCAAAGTTATCATCATCGTCATCATCAGCAACAACAACAACAACAGCAAGCAAGCAAGCAAGCAAGCAAGCAAGACAACAGCAGCAACAACAACCAGAAGCAAGCAAGACAACAGCAGCAGCGGCAGCAGCAGCAGCAGCAAGAGCAAGAGCAGCTGCAACAGCAACATCAACAGCAACCAGAACAACCACAACGCCGACAGCAGCAACGCAGTGCGCTAATTGAGGATAGATGAGCCACATCAGGGTGAACTCTGTGAGCCTCGGTACCGGGACCCGGGCCTCGTCCACTCCGAAGAGGACCTCCAAACTGGACTCGGAGTCGGGAGGCGCATGGAGGGCCCAGCTGGTGGTGCTTGGCCTCAAGAGGACCAAAGGGAACCCGCGTGATTTTGGTCCTTTCTTTTTGCGCTTTTCTCCGGGCCAGGGGCGCTGTGAGGTCCAACGTGGTGGCCACAGCTCCGAGGCTCTCTGCTGCAGTGACGAAAGAGAGAACCTCCCCAAAAAGCATTCAGAAAATCTGCCCCAGTCTCTCTTCTTCTCTTCTGCGCGAAGGCTCCCCCCTCTTCGCCTGCGCCATTGTGACCTTGTTGGGTCCGCCTGGTGCCACGAAGTTCGGGGACCCCTGGCCTGGCCAGGAATGAGACTTCTCGCTTTTCTTGGGGAAATATGCACTCTTGCGCATCAATTCGGGTCGTCATTGCAGGCTGAGGGGATGAAGCTGAGCCAGCAGAACCCTGTGAAAAAGCATCCTGACTGCGCAAGTCCCACGAGTCTTGCGCAAAGCACAGCACCGAAAACTGTGTCCTGACAGGATCCAGGAACCATGTCGCTCAGCGTAGCGTGCAGTCCAGCAGTGAGGCCGCTGCTCTGCAGGCAATGGTGCCCCTAATCCAGCTCCGCCAATGCCAGAAAGTGCTATGCGATCGATCTCCACTGAGACCTTACGACGAGCGATCGGGCGATCAGCGCGATCGCTCATCCGCGACACGGCTGAGGCCCAGACATCTGTGTACGGATCGGAGACCTCCTTCATGAACACCGTGCCCTGCCCCGCTGAACCTGGGGTAAACGAGACGAAAAGAACGACTTGCTCTTGCTCCGGTGGACCCGGCCTTTGATGTAATCCTCGTAGTAGCAGGCAGCCAAGGCATCGCTGTCCTGGAGGTCGTTCGGTCGACAATAACTGGAAGAGCCACCGTTGGGCATCGTTGCCGCACACCAGACCTCGGCATCAGACACCTACGCACGGCTTCTGAAATTTCTGTGTTGGATCCAGACCGTACCAGGCTCGCTGAGTTGAAGCTGCACGAGAAGAGACTCCTGTGCAGAAGAGTCCCAGGCCTACTTGGGGGGCTCTCGAACTTGGACAAACCAGACAGTCGGCAAACCAGTCTGTCCTCCGACAGAGCATCGAAGGCTGAGAAGAACATTGTGGGCGGCGTGCTATCTGTAACCCAAACACCCCTTGTGTAGCCTCCAGCTGGAGCAGCGGCAGACAGGACTGGACTTGCGACATAGCTTGCTGCCATGAAATTCGGTTGCGGGTATCCAAAGGTGTTTGTGGCCTCGTCCTGACGATAAAGCAGACTGCACGCGCACGCACACACGCACACACAAGACACATTTAACCTGCCGCTTGAGCCCGGTCCTTGGCCCAGCAGTACACATCGTACTGCGTTCCAGCCATCAAAGCTGCGACTTCATCGTCGCGCTTTGTGGCAGAGGGATCAACATTCTCCAAGTTGTTCATGACAATGGTGACGTTGCTGCTGCCGTCGTACTCACCCACCCAGTTGGCCGTCAGAACCCTGATGGGCCGGAGTGCGACAGGAAAACACTTGGCTGTTGTGACCGGCTCGCCTGTTGATCGGCATGTCCTCAGCAGACTCGCCCGAGTCCGAGCGGGTCGCCCTGCAGTACGCTGTTCCTGCCTGGGGCTGCGTGAGACCACAACATGTTTGCAGTCAGCCAAAGTGACTGGCTACGTTGTCTTCATGCCACACAGGAGCCTCGTTTAGAGCGAAGTTTACGACCAGGACTCCTGCATTCGGGAATGTCACGCTCAAACAAACATCACCTCCGTCTTGAAATTGGATTGGATTTAGGATCGCGATGCATCAGGCAGACGGAGATTTGTCGCTCAGAATTGTTGGCAAAGCTGTTTGGGAAAGGATTACTGAGTTACTGGAGGCCTGCACAGTGTGGACACGAGCATGCCATGGCAGAACATAGCAAACAAGAATTCTCCAGAAGCGACGTCTCGTTCAAGCTTTCCGTGCCGACATGCTTCGCACATCTCGCAGCCACAGCATGAAGAACACCGCAGTGCCTTCTTCAGCGCTGGGATCTTGGATTTCCAGCAAGGTGAAGCTGGGAGCTGCCTGCAGGAGACGGACTAGCCTAGCCAGAGACCTGTCTGCACAGCCGCTTCCCAGGAAAAGCAGAAGATCCGATGTTCTTACAAGCAAACATGCAGAATTGACCGAGGGCCTCATCCAGTGTTGCGAGTTCACCGATGCTGTCCGAAAAGGTCTGCACTGTGACGAAGGTTGTAGCTGGTGAGCCTCAGCTTTTCGGCATGCCTGTTTCTTGCCGTCAGGACGCAAGGCTCTTAAGACCTAGTCTCAATACATGATTTGACCAAGTGATGTCAGGTGCACAAGCAGCATGTGCTGCAGCCAAGGCAGCCTGTTGGTGACACGTACTCGGCAGAGGAATTGACACTGTCCGCCTCGGGAACGAAGGCTTCGCCGGCTTAACTAGACTACTACACTACACTCTTTCTCCCTCTCTCCCTCTCCCTTTCTCTTCCTCTCTTTGCGGCAGCCTGTGCTTTCCAGTCGTCTTCTGCGAAGCAGAAGATCTGATAAGTCGTCTGCGGCAGAAGCAGTGATCCAGCTGTCATATCTTTTCGTAGAATCCTCGTGATTTCCACTTCCACGTCCTGGAAGGCCTGCATGTTGGAGCATTTCTGCTGGGCTCTATTTACGACGGCTTCTCCCGCCTCGGAAACGTACGCACTAAAGGATGTACCATCAGAGGTGTTTCCTTTGATGTAATCCTCTGTCTCACCATGCGATCGAAGTCAACTCAGCAACACTATACTACCAGTGTGCTCACATGCTGAAACAGTCCTCGAAGAAGCAATCTGCAGAAGATGATGCTGACTGCAGCTCGCTGTCCAAGCAATAGCTTCCCGGAGAGCCCTTGCCTGCGGCAGCACACCTCGGATTCGCCAAACGAGCCCAACCATACCCAATCTTGGGGAGATAAGCACGATGCCAAACGGTGCCGGGCTCGTTCAACTGGAGCCGTACCTGCTAGTCCAGCAAAGGGCGGAGGCAGCCAGACCGATGCAAGACACACTCGATCTACGAATCCAAGGCTACAAAAGCTGCAAAGCTCCCCGCACCTGAAGAGTGGCACTCCCTGGCATTCTCGCGACATTGCGCTGAAGGGGCCGCAAACAGCGTGTACAAGGCTTCATGCTCTTCAAGATCGAACGGATAGGCTCCGGCCGAAGCTTTCAGAGGCCACAGCCCGCCACCCACCCCAGCCGCCCTTCTCTGCTTGCCATCCTTCTGCCTAACCTTCAGCCGGAAGAAGCTTTTCTTGGAACTCGTGCCGGCTTGTCGCTCTGCGTGTAGATGTTCATTTTGACATTTGCATGTCCCGGCAGCTCCAGGAACTGCTCTGAGAACGCCGGTCTGACACAACCCCCCCCCCGCTCATGCTTCGATTGCTGACTCATTCTTGTCCATTGTCGTCATTCATGGACATCCATCTGGCTAAGAGTTTCCTGTAGCGAGCGAGACTCTCCTGCACGAGGGGGCAATGCTTTATCCTGTACACAACTCCTGTTGCTTACCTCGGGTCCGGTCCTCTTCTCGCTCTCTCGCTCTCTCGCTCTCTCCCGACTCTGAGGCGGGCTCCGACCCGCTCCTGGCGCGTGCACCCTGTTACGGGTGTCCTTCTGCCTCTCTCCTCAATATCCCTTCTCCTGTTGGGAGAGGTGTCCACACTTGCCCTGGCCACCGGCACCTCCATGCAAAGAAGGTGGCACCCCCTGTCTCTCTCGTTTCCTTGCCTTCCTGCATCTCCACAGGTAAACTGCGATCTGTGCGCCGATGCTAAGCCGCACGCGGAGGGCTTCTGCCTGTACGAGCAACATGGTGGGAGGTGTCGTGTCTGCCACCCAAACTCCTGGCCACAGCAGCTTTGGAATCTCTTCGAAAGGTGTCAATGCTCGTCTCCTGGTGTCTTGCCACCTTCGAGCGTTGCGTTCATGACTTCGCCCTGGCCCACTTCCGTGTTCACCTGAGCGAGTGTCGTAGAGCGCCTCGACAGTCAAAGCCCATCATCTAATCCAGACACTGCGGCCGGGACATATTCTTCAGTCTGCTGGTTGGGTCTTGCATATCCCCTGCCATCGACAGCATCATCGTGGGCCTCAGGGGAAGATTCAGTCATCCACCGGGAAACACCTATCTCCCCATGTGCTTGGGCGCAGGCCCAGCAGAAGACGTCATACTGTGTCTGCTCGTCGAAGTCGGCTGTCGACGTGTCGAGAGCCCCAACACCTGGATGTGGCCTCAGAACTAGTAACTAGGGCAAAACATGTTTCGTGGTTCGCTCTCGTCTTTTGCGATGGCGCAGCTTCAGCACAGTGGAACAGCGCTATTCACCAAGCTCGCGGCATAGATGTCTTCGTCATTTCGATGGTTGCATCGGGCCCTGAGAAGCTTGCAGACCAGCCGGCAGCAAGGATGTCAGGTATCTTCATTGATGTTGTAGCCGCGGCGGAGTCGACGCGTCTCGCTCGACCTCAGCACCGAAACAGACTTTAAGCCACTTATTCAAGTCCACATGAAAAACAGAAGCCAGGTCAACTGCAGTATGCCGTGCCAGGCTCGTTCAGCGCAAAGACAACAACAATGCGATCATTGGTCTGCGTTGGGTTCCTAAGTGCGGAACCGCAATCAACAGCAGAATGCCGCTCGGCCGCATGTCCCGCCAAGACTCTGTATGAGCAACTTGGCAAATCGTGGAGGGCTTTCATCCAAGGTCGTCCTGGAGCTGCCGAGCTGCAGCGGCCAAAACATGCCAAAAGCGGCTTATGTCCGGACGTGTCCTGGTCCCGATGGCAGCCAGGAGAGACTGGCCCTGTGACAAGGGCCTGCGAAAGGCAAACGAACTCATGAGACTTGCCGCAAGGATCTGAAACAAAAGCAGTGCTTTTGGCTGCGGACGATTTGTTGGGGCTCGTCGGTGCCGCAAAGTTCGGACTGACTGCGCCGGCTGTACTTTGCACAACCTGCACCAGGAAGGAGCCGCACATGCCGCAGCCGACAGCGCGGAGCCGACTGCCGACCCAATCGTCTTCGGCGAAGCAGAAGATCTTGTAGGGAGTCTCCGGCCTCAGGCTGCCAAGAGTTGCCTTTGTCAGGCCTTTTTGTCAAGCCTTAGTAGCTGAGCAGAGGGCTGCAACTTGCTTGTGCTGGTGCCGTTGCGCTCCCAAATCCTCCGACACAAGACACGATATGGCCTGGTCTCACAGAAATCCTGGCTGTGAGGCAGTGAGGTCGAAGTAAACTTGGAAAGTCCTGCTGATCTCGATGTCCACATCCCTGAACGGCTGCGAGACTTCAGCCTTGAAAACAGTTCCGTCGGCATAGGTCCCCTTGGCAAAGGTCTCGAAGTAGCATGGCTCGATGCTTGGATCAGGTTGCGAGTCCTTTCAGCATGAAGCACGAGCCAAAATCGCAGAAACAACCCGTTCTTTGCTCCCTGCGCCTGCAGCTCACCTTCCCTGCAGTTCTGAGTGTTCGCGGAGGAGTCTGGCTCAGCAGCTGCACACCTCGCGAGATTGAATCCTCAAAACACCTGCAGCTCGTGGGACCCTAGGAGCACCCAGCAAAATTTCATTCAAGACACCAGATCGTTCCAGGCTCATCTAGCTGCAGAGTGACTTGCAACGTGTCGCTGGAGACAGCTTCGGAGGAGACATAGATGATAGTAGGCGGAGTCTTGTCCGTGACCCAAATGCCAGCAGTCGCTCCCCCTGAAGGTGATGAGGGAGAAACGACAGGAGAAGTGACATACTGCTGCGTCATGTAGTTCGGACGCGCGAAGCCCAGGGTGCTCACGGCATTGTCCTGCATCGAAACGTTTCCAATCTTGCAGTAAGACGAACACCGCAAGAACAAGCTATGAACCTGGGCCCAGCAGTAGGCGTCGTACTGGGTTGCCGCTTCCACGGGGACAGAAGGGACATCCAAAGGCACAGCGCTGTCCAGGGCGGTGATATTAATGGTCACGGCATCTGCAGGTGGTCCAGCGTGAACAGCGGACCAACCAGCAGCAAGGATCCGATTCACATGCATGTCTGAGCCGACTTCTCCCGAATCAGACCTCAAGTGCTTCTCGTCAGGCAAAAATTCACAAGTTATGGTCTGAACACCTGCAAAAGCCCTTCTGCACTCTCAGGGGGCCTTGTCACGCGGCAGTATGCCGTCCCGGGCTCGTTCAGAGCAAGGCTCACTGCGATGAGACCCTCCTCAGCCTTGCAAGCTCAGCGCTAGAGCCGGCAGCCTCCACACTGCACAAAAAGCTGCTAAGAGCTGCACGGTGGGATCCAGAATTTCGAGCTGCGTGAATGTCGCAGGTGACTCGTCCAAGGTCACAATGGATCCGACTGCGGCTTTCACGGAACTGACGAGTCTGCTGGACTCCGTTCCCGCTGGAGCATCGCTTGTGTCGTAATACATCTTGTTCGGTGCCGACCCGAGGCCTTAGCAGCTTTCACGTGCTCTTTAGAACGCCACTGTGACTCAACCAAGAAACCATCAACTTCGTCGTCTTCAGCGAAGCAGTAAATGTGGTCATACACCGTCGCTTCGGTCAGGCCAAAGAGAGTTATCTGTACCTGAAACGCAGCAACTTGACACTTTCGCCGTGTGCCCTTCGACTTGCCCCCAGGGTGCATCGCGGGTGTACTGGTATGATGCCGCAAGGTCCTGGACAGTTGACACGCCATCCAGGGGAGTGTCCTGGCAGGCTGAGCTTGTCTTCCAACGATTTCGGTTGGAAATCACCCAGGGCAAAGAGGCCTCCACATCATCCAGGTCGTAGATCCAGAAGCTGCCACAAGGACGCTGCGGCGGATGGCTTTCAGTGCAGTTCGCGCCCTTGATCATCTCTTCGAAACCTGTGCTCACACCTGCACTCACGAGCACATGCGGTAGCTCTCGGGAATGCTCCGAAACACAAGAACCAGAAAGACAGCCGCCTGCAGGTTCGGAATCCCAAGCCTCGACAACAACGAGTGAAACCGGGTCTCTGTGCACCCAACTCTTATGCTGGCGTAAAATGCCACGGAAACAAGACCCGCACTGCGCACCACAGCTTGGCTCCCTCGTCCACTTGAAGGGTCAACCTGTGCGGTATGTTTGTGACATGGTCTGAGTATGATTTCTTTTGTAGCGATGCGCCGATGGCTTGGGCTGGAGATAATTTCAGACATGGGATGAGCCTCTACAGACAGCTGTCAGTTCGCGTAGCGAATCGTTAGTCGACGTCGGACATTATGGCAAGAGAACGTCCATGGCCCTCGAAGTTCGTGTTAGATCCGTGGAGTTAGAGAATGTTCAACTTTTTGCTTGGATGCTGGAGCAGTCCATGTCGTTCCCGGGCATGGTTGGCAGAAGTATTCAAGAAGGCAGTCGAGGAATGAATTGTCAGTTCTGAGACAAGACCACCACAAGGTACAGGTGGGTCCATCAGCGGTGGACAGCAAACGCGCGGGTGGACTACTTCGAGGTGGACTCAGTGGAGTGCAGAAGAAAGAGAACTGTGAGACATTCCTGGGGTCCAGGCTGGATGGTGTCCTTGCTCAATGCTTCCGCAAACAGGACTGTGACCCGAGGTGGTAGGACCTTACACCGCGCTTGCGTTTTGCGAAACACTGCACGACGTTCTGCAGCACAATGCCGAGGGCGTCAGCATCAAGAGTGCGGATGCCGGCTTGCGTCTTCCTGATCTCCTGCTTCATCGAACATGGACGGCACCATCCTAACCGGCCGTGTGTGGCGTCCTCGACGGATGATCCAGCTGCCACCGAACAGCGGAGGCAGGGGACATCCTTCCACATTGCCACGTGTCTCTTCTTGCTGCAGCCGGGCTGTGCAATCACAAAGGCCTCCGCATAGCAGTACACCTAGAAACACGAGCGCTTCGAAATTATTTCTCCGAACAAGGACAGGACGAATTGTACTTGAGGGCTTGGCCTCATAATCTGTTCCTTGTGCCAGGGGATCACCTTTTGCGTTCTCTGCCGTGATATTAACCTGGAGCAGTTCATCCATGACATGCTCGACAGACATCTCCGCCGCCCTCGCTGCTAAAGCGAAGTACGCAGCATCAGTACGGCTTCGTGCACATGTCGTGGTATCCGCACGGCCTCAGCCATAGCTTCAGCGGGGGACTCCACATAGAATCCGGTTTCCAGGATCTCTGGAGCCTCATCACAAGTCTTTCGTGAGCTGCCGCTCTGATAACAGGACTTAGGGACCGTGGCCCTCCCGGGTCTCGTGATGTCGCTCGCTACACTTCTGCACACGTTTCACTCAGATATCAATGCAGCAAAACAAAGTCGCTTCTCTGATGTTCATGGATAGTGACAACCGCCACTGACTCAGTGGCACTCGCATCTCTTCTTCTGCTAACACAGAGAGAGAGAGAGAGGAAGAAGGACTGGCAGACGAAGACAGACAGAGAGACAGGCAGCGACACAGACAGAGAGAAAGACAGATAGACAGACCAGACAGACGGACAGACAGAAAGACAGAAAATCGACAGGCGATCAGCATCTTCGGCGTACACCAAAGGCACCGAAGTCTGTGCTGTGTCAGAAATTAGCCCAGGCGTGTTGAAAAGCTTCGTTCTGCGACCTGCACATGTGAAGACCGGAGTCTTGAGTCAAGCTGCCAGCGGCATCGCAGCACCCTTCCGGTAGGCACGGCACCTCGAGCTAAATCAGCCATGTTTCGCTGAGCAAATCTCCACAGCCGACTCGGGGTGTGGCCAAACCGTGCCAGCCTCGTCCATCGACACAGAAACCACGATTCTGTCCTGCAGAGCATGCGGCGCTCTGCACTCTGCACCCATGGCACGCCTAGTGGCCCAACTGGTGTCTCACACAGTCCTCGGTTGCGGCAACATCGAGCAGAGTCAGATTCGGCGGCGTCAGGTCCAACCTCAGTCAGAAAAAGCTGCCGCGGAGGAGACTCCACAGACATTCCTCTTTGAGGTGCGCAGCGTTGTCGCGGTTCCAACCAGATCCTTGAAGGCCGTCACCGACGCAAAAGTCACCTGCACTGAATCTCTGCGGCAGGCCATTTGCCACATTCATCTCTATCCTTCCTCTGTGACACCTTGTTTCGGGAGCTTGGGGCGGCGAAGTTCACAGAGCCGACCGTGGCCTCAGCACCAGGTGCTGTCAGAGCGAGTCAGAGCGAAGTTTGAGAGTGCCTGCTCGATCCAGTCATCCTCCGCGAAACAGAAGATCTTGTACCCTGACAAGACAAAAAAGAGCAGCAGCCTCAAGCGTTCGATAACTACTGCAGCCTGATCTGCGAGAAAGTGGAATCGAACTCAATCCATCTCGCGAAGGAAGGCGGTTCACCTGTTCAAATTGGTCAACGGTTGGGTGGGTGGGTGGGTGGGTGGGTGGGTGGGTGGGTGGGTTGGGTGGGGTTGGGTGGGTTGGGTGGGTTGGGTGGGTTGGGTGGATGGATGGAACGAGGGATGGACACATGATAATCCGCTTCCTGCATGAACCTAGAGTTCTACAGACTGAGACGAAGCACGACCGGTCCCCTTACAGATATGCATACATATGTAAATATAGATACATAGATAGATAGATAGATAGATAGATAGTTAGATAGATAGATAAATAGATAGATAGATAGACTGATTGATTGATTGATGCATCGATGCATACGTATATAGATAGATAGAAAAATAGACAGATAGATAGATAGATAGATAGTTAGTTAGCTAGATAGCTAGATAGCTAGCTAGCTAGCCAGATAGATAGATATCGCCCGGTCTTTCTTCACACCTCCACTTCCATGTCTTTGAAGGCCGTGTGGACCTTAGTGCTTTGAGCGCTGGTGGCTCTTGGCATTCAGTGCCTCTCTGGAGAAGGTGGGGCGGGCTGGGTCTGAGTCTGGGTTCCCGTCTTCCTGCTTGAAGACGTGGGAGAAGTTGCCCTTTATGTAATCCTCCTGCAGTGTCGTGGCATGACCGGTTGCATCATGCTCCCGCTCTATGAATAAAGCTACGTTATTCCAGCCAGGGCTCAAAGAAGCAGTCGGCCAAGGGGTCAGAGTCCTGCAACCTCTTTGTCACACTGATGCGTGAAACAGGCAAGTCTTCCGATTGCTGGAGAGCGGCTCGAGATCCCCGCAATGACTGCCGTTCGTTGCCACAACCTCTGCCGCCTGGCACCACACGGTCCCTGGCCTTGTGCGGTCACCACGAAAAACTCGTCGACACGGATATACGAGATTGCTACGGAGGCAGCACAGCCAAAACAAGACGCAAATTGTAGCGAGTCACTCATCCAATTGCAGGGTGACTTGCAGAGTCTCCTCATCCTTTACAGCATCCCAGTCGATGAAAAGCAGCGTTGGCGCAGTGGAGTCCAACGTCCAGACCTCACGCGGCAGCTTGGCATGGAGTGAGCGCAAGCCCGTCTCGCAAACACAAGATCATGACAAGGGCCAGCCAGGGCAACGGCATTGGCAGTTTTCCCTCCCTGGGGTGCTGTAACGTTGCCAACATCGTTGCCTAGCCGGCTTTGCGCTCCAAGTAACTTTTCCGACATGTCATGAACCTTTTAAATGCTTTCAAAGCTGCTCACGTATGCTTGCGACATGAACTGTGGCCGCGGAAATCCGAAATTGCTCTTCGCTTCATCCTGCGAGAGCAAGAGCAGAGGCATCCCCGAGCACTGGCGAAACTCGTAGCTGCGCAAAGCGTCCTGAGCCCAGCAATACACATCATATTGCCTGGCTTCGTCGAGCTCCTGAGAGCAGCGAAAATCCAAGTTCAAGAAACACAGGCAAGTCGTCCTAGGTTGACGTTGTCGCTGAACCTAGCACTCTGGAAGATCTCTGGGCTGATGGGGGCGACAGGGACATGGCCACTGCCACTCGGGCTCGCCTAGGCAAGAGCTAATGTGAGCTAATGAATGTGCACGAAGATTACCGGGCGACGCCTACGTTGAGGAATGTTGAGGAATTGTTCTCCAAAGATGCTTGAAGCGTTCACGCACACTCTTGTGACCAACAAGTTCCGGCACCGTTTGTGAACTTCTTCCTTTGCACATCTTACACCTGAGATGATGGACCCCTTCCCCATCAATCGCTCAACTGGCGGTGCTCATGAGCATTATGGGTGCTGCTCGTCCTCCAAAGGCGACGACTGCACTCCAGCGATCAACAGACTGCTGCTCGCGGATGTTGACGGGTCATGTGTTGCGGACCAGCCAGCAGACACGATGCGGTTGATCCCCAGTGGGAAAGCTGCCTGCAGCACACTGGACAAACACGAACATGCGTCTTCCTGTCATTCTGCCTAAACGTCTGCACATGTTGGGCATGTCTGCATGTTCATGTGTACATACACATACACAACAGAGATACGTACCTGCGCACATATAAGCATGCATGCAGACATACAGAACAACAGACCTGCAGACCGACAGACGCACAGACCTACCTACCTGCTTACCTACTTACTCACCTATGTACTTCCCTACGTCTGTAACCACCTACCCATGTACCTACAAAGCTACCTACCTACCTACCTACCTGCCTCCTACTGTACCTACTTACATACAGGCAGAGAGAGACAGAGAGAGACAGAGAGAGACAGAGAGAGACAGAGAGAGACAGAGAGAGACAGAGAGAGACAGAGAGAGACAGAGAGAAAGACACAGAGAGAGACACAGAGAGAGACACAGAGA